CTTTGGTGATGAGTCTTGGAAGCTTGAGATGCAGAGGCGGTTGCTGCAACCAGTGCATTCATTCTCAACCGTTGTGCATTCTTGAGCCTTGATTGCAACGAAGCCCTGTAGGCAGCTTTCCCAGCCAAGCAGGTGACACACTCCTCTTGTGACTGCGTTGAGCGACCCGCAGGACCTTCTTGGCCTCATAGCGGACACTCTTGCAGAACGAAGGCTAAGATGTACCCTCCTTTTTGGCGGCATGGGGAAAAGTGATGCTAGTAGTGGTTGATTAATTGCAGGAGTACAAAGTCTAACTTAGTATTGCAAAACGTGAGCCAGAATCGGGAAGGCTGGTATTTAAGTAAAACAGCTGAATAAATTGTTTATGGTAGTTGGAAAAATGTAGTTAAACAGACAAATGGAAAACCTAAGAAACAATTTGCAGTAGGAGAAATGATCAGTTGAAGGAGCTTCTCGTTGTATCAACCGGATGACAGCGTAACAGGAGCAGAAGTGAGACCTTCCTCCCACAACTGTGTACAGCAGGTTCAAATGTGATGTATTACTAGCCAATCGGCTGTGCCAATCAGTGAACGTGTACTGCACTCAGCCAATGAGATACCACTATGCGAAGCATGGCCACGCGTGTGTGAATTACAATCAGCTGTAGAGTCTATAGTGTAGACGTCTCATTTGAACATACGTTTGATTAGCGTATTCGCAAATTCCGATGAAGACATGATTTTATCGACTTCCCTCAGGTATTAGTTGGTCACAAAGGAGCTCACAGGGCAGAAGTTTTTAATTGTCATGACTAAAGCCAATAAAGTTAGTCAAAAGAGGTATGATTTCATTGATTTTTATCCGAGAATTGAAACTGATATTGAAAACAAAAAGTCAGCACCTCAATACTGTCAGTAAATACTATGCTCAATGGGAATGTCCCAAAGTGATTGATTGTATCGATTTTTTCCAGTAATTGATATTGAAAATGAATGTCAGCACCTCATAGCTGTTGATAAAAACAATGCTCAACGTAATTTTGCTGGAGATTCTTTGCCATTTGCGAAAAATATAGCCAAAAATCAGCTTGACTGGATTTGAATTGAAGTCAAAAGTGGCATGATGTTATCAATTTTTTCTGATAATTGATGCAGATATTGAAAAAAAAGGTCAGCAACTAATAACTTGATAAAACTAAATGCTCAACATGATTTATGAAAATTCTTTGCAGTTTGCGAAAAACAGAGCCCAAAATCAGCTGCATTGGATTTGAATCCGATGTCCCAAAGTGATCAATTTTTTTCCGATAACCGATATTAATTTTTAAAAACAAAGAACAGCACCTCAAAACTATAAGTAAGGACATTATTCAACCCCTTATCGGGATTTTTCCAAAATCGGAACAATTGAAAAATCCAAAGATGTCAAGTATAAATGTCATAAATTTCCGATCTGTGTGTGAATTTTCATGCCAATCAGACGAACGGTTTGCTCAGGATGAGGTAACAAGATGACAAACACACAGACACACTAACGGAATGCCATATATAGATATTCCTAAACAGAATTATTTTTGATAAGAAAATCAAAAATATTTCAATAAAAGGACACTAATGAAGGACAGTTAATTAATAAAATACACTTTTTTTAAAAATCAATATGCAAATTAGCTAAACCTGAATAGTGATACTGCCTATGAGCTTTTAGTGTGTAAATATAAAGTTGGTGATTTTTTTTAATATCAGAATTTGTGGGAGAACTGAGCTCCAATTTCACATTTATTCAAACTTAATTAGTTTATTTTTCTCTAACTCTTCCAATATTGAATGCATAACTAATTCTATTTCCCCATATTTACCTCATTAATTTTATCTTATAAATTGCCCCATTTTGTCACTCATGAAATAAAAATAACTGTACGAAAAATAAGGATCTACATACATCAAATTGTCTTTAAATTAAGTGGCAGCAGAAGAATTATCATTGAAGTTTTTAAACAATCACTACTTAAGTGCTGCGATCAGTTTCGGGTCCTGTAGTTTATTGATGCTTATTGCATCTACTCCTCCCTAGCTATTGTGATGATGGCCAAACCAAGAGTCCTTCACAGGAACTAAATTTTAAGCTAGCTGCAATTTTGGACACAAAAGGAAAGTAAGAGTTACTTCTCTTGAACCATGAAAGCAATGATAATGGCGAGTAGAATATACTTTTAACCTCACATAATCTGGCAATCATTCCCTGTCCGTAACATTTTTAGGGATTTTGAATGGGCTATGAATCATTGAAATCAGACCAGTAGAAGCAGAGTTGCTTGGACACACACACACGTGTGTGTGTGATAAATGCCTAACTTTTTACAGTGTTATCAGAACTTGTTCTGAAAATGTTACAAAAACAGTTAAAAGAAACCTACAATTTTAAGTAAGGAACAAAAACTTATACAGTATACACCTGCTTTCTTTAAGATAATTTTTCATTCTCTATCCCGTGGAAGGTCTAAGGAACGCTAATCTAGAAAAATTATTCCTCAAAAGAAAAAAAAAAAAAAAAAAAATATTGTTTTTAGGGAGTGGACCAACCTATTTAAGTAGTACCAATAAATAAATAAAAAAGGGGGGGGGCATAAAAGGATATGTAGTTAAACAACACTTAATAGGTCTAGAAGAAAAAGATTTTGTAAAACCAAATTTACAAATGTTCTCTGGATTTTTCAAATTAACCTTAAAAAAAAAAAAAAAAGTGACAAGGGAGATAACTCCCATCAAATATAAAATGCAATGCCAAGCAAAATTATTTGATGGCATCTAAGATCCCCCCATCCACCTCCTCTCGCTCGGCTTAGCTACAGCATATCTAAACATCCTTTCAGACACTGCCTAATGTTAAAACACTTCATTTAGGTCGATTGATATTAGAGAAACTTTTTTTTTTAACATTTTATCAGCATGGCTGATGCTAACCTCCAAGAGAAAGGACTCACTGCACCTTCTTGAACTAATGTCCTCTGGTGAAATGAAATGGAAAGATTCTATTAAATCAATTGCCAAGTCAGCAGCTAAGAAAGTTGCTTCACTGTATTGAGTTAGACAATTTTTCTTGCCAGAATTTATTTTACATATTCATAAGTCTACCATTCATCCTTGCTTTGAATATTGCCACATCTAGTCTGATGCTACTGCTATATATTTAGAGATTCTTGATAAAATCCAAAGAATCCCCAATATTATTGATCCTGATCTGGTATATCAGCTTCAGTCACTTTCCTATCTTTTATTTTTATAAATATTTTTCATGATAATTGTTCTGATGAACTTTCCTCTATGATACCTAGACTTTATGAATTTAAACTCAGTACTAGATTGGTAGTCAGGTTTTATTTTACAGTTGAAATGGCTAAATGTAACCGTAGGTTCTATGCTAACAGTTTTTTCTCTTGCACTTCTCACTTTTGGAACTCTTCTGGCTTCTTGCTTTCCAAAGTCAACTTTAATCTTCAAAAATTTAAAATGCAACATCAATCGTTATATTCTGAATTCTTCCTTTATGTATCTTATGTTAAAATGGTTTCAACTAAAAAAAAAAAAAAAAAAAAAAAAATCCTGGCAGGACTTCTAGTTACCTTAGATTCAATTTGGTATAAAGATTAGGTAAATAGAGAGATCACAATTTTACATGCACACATGGTGCGATAGGTAAATTCTTGCCATTTTATATTTTTTAATTCTGCTCATATATTTGCTTTTATGGGCTGCACAGTATATTAGAGTCAGTTGGGCACTGTCTGTAAGAAAAAGTGAACCTTGATGCTATTCACTCCAGTAAAAATTTGGAAATGGCATGTGGTACTGCTTGGCATTTGTACCAGAAGCTCCAAAATTTACATTTCCTAGTCCTTGGATGCCAATCTGGGGGACAGTGTAGAGGATTTGTAATGGGTTGGATGAGTAATAGTGATATAAAGGTACAGCAGCTCAGAAAACACATTCCACTTGTTGTGATAAGAAAAGGACTTCTGATTTTGTTGTGGAGGGCCTTAAACTCAATACAAGGGGGACAGCATCAGTGTCTTGAGAAGGTAGTGCTGCCCTGGTTAAGAGGTTGTCTCCTAGAACCTATATGTCTGGCAACAGGACTCTGCACCATGCTACACAAGCAGGAAAACCTAGTCATTACTGTCAGACAATTTCTGCAACATTACCCCTTACATCTGGCTACCTAACTCCCAAGACTGCAACTCCCTTGATTATGCGTGGGATGCAGTTGAGTGAGAGATCAACAAAACTCCTTGTAATACCAAAGATAAACTGAAGACAAGGATTATGGCAGCATTCACCAACTTAAACATGGAGACCGTCCAGAAGAGAAGCAAGAGATTCTGAAGTTTCCTGGAGGCTGTGGTTGAAACCAATGGCAACTTTATTGAATAAATTTACTCTTCAGTATTTGAAGATATTTGTGTAATTTTATTAAGCATCTGTTAAAATGAGATGTCAGTGTCATTTTCATTTGTGTGTAATCCCGACAATTTATCCATCGTACTTGCTATCTGCGATATGGTAACATGATTAAAGAATACTGGTCTCTGTAGAAAGTTTTTGTCCGTTCGTAAATAATATATACAGAAATAAATGTGATGTAGAATATAATAGACACTTAACATTTTGTGAATATAGGTTTGTTGATGTGCTTGCATTTTTTTTTTTATTTAAAAAAAAAAAAAAAAAAAAAAAAAATTCCATATTTTTTCCCCCTATCCGCTCAAAAATCTGTATCCACAAAATGTTTAAAGAAAATGTCAGATTATAAATAAATAAAATAAAGATAAAAACTGTGCATAAATAAATCAAATATTTGTTGAATTAATTTTGTTATAAAATCTTTAATTGTGAAAGATGATAAGAACCTTTTAATGGTTGTGTACATGACAGTCTTGATTGGTGGCTATACAATGGAAGAGGTTGTAGAGACAAAATACAACCCTAACTCTGGATCAGTTTGGTTTACTTGTACATTTATTCTTCTTCATCATCCTCATCATCATCATCATCATCGTCGTCATCTTCGTCATCGTCTTCCTCATCATCATCATCGTCGTCGTCATCTTCGTCATCATCGTCTTCCTCATCATCATCGTCATCATCATCATCGTCATCTTCGTCGTCTTCATCCTCATTTTTTTTTTCAAGTTTTATTTTCTTGGCTTTACCTTTGAAGATCAAATTATATAAATGTTAAAATTGTCAAAAAAAAAATATAAAATTTTGCTTACAAAGGCGGGTCAAGGAATTTCATTACTACCCACAATCTGGCACAAAGTTAAAGATTTGCTAGATTAGACTTGCCCAGCCAAAAGGTCGCAATTACAGAACATCCAATGACTAAATTTCGGGTAGGAATAGCGATAAACTGAAGGCTTTAAGAAAATATTTATACCATGTGCAAGTGGAGTGAGAGTGTGATTGAAAGTGTGAAACACATTCTCAGTGAAATGCAGCCATTGACAATCATTTGGGGAAATATAGCCTCAAGCACGCAGAGAAGTGCTAAGATCATTCTCCACCAAAGGCAGCCAAGAATTGACATCACACAGCCATGAATTAATCCTGAATGATATCATTGACCAAAAACGTATGTTCCGTGACCAATATATTGAAACTATTGATCTTGGAAATTTCTAGTCACACACAATGAGTACAAAAACATGTCATGTGAGGGTAGGTCAATATCTGCATTGGAAGATATGACATCAATATGGGATTGAAGCCGCTTCCAACTGGTATAAACATCACCCTGAATCTAGTTGAGGGAGCAGATATTACCACCCTCTAAGAGTACCCTATCAACACAGGCTGAGCAATGCAAGCAAATCGCACAGACATTACTATCATCGATAGGTATAATAATAAAAAAAAAAAAAAAAAAAAAAAAAAGATGGTTAGCATGGATTGACATGAGCATACCAAATGACAAAAAACATCTGTGAAAGAAAACTAACTGTTCCTGCAGTGGGTGGGGCTCTGGGTCTGATAAAGAAAGGATCTCAAAAACAAAATCTCTGGTGCACCATCTCCCACAATCCATAAAGAGCTTTGAAGAATTCAACTTCAGCAAAAGAACAAAAAAATCCTTTATTTGCCTTAGGCTGTATGCTCTTAAGGGAGGATTCATTATATATATATTTATATATATATATATATATATATATATATATATATATATATATATATATATATATATATATATATATATATATATATATATAGTGTGTGTGAGAAACCCTGAGGGGTAATAGATAGGGAGTTGGATTGAGGAATCCTAGAGATGTGATTGAACTCTAGTCAAATCCATTGCATTCACTTGAGAAAGGTATGAATCCTCCCCTTCTCCCTCCACACCAAGCATAAATAATAGACTGGGTCCTATAGCCTTGAGTGGCAACCAGCCTAGGAGAAAGACTGGTCTGAATTTAAAGCCTGCTGACGGTTGTTTGGCAACCTTGTGGCAATGTGAACTGGTTCTTTGTATTCAGTTCTCCCAAAAAGCGTAGTTGATTGTGAACCGAGTCATCACCACCAAGAGTCATTTGTGCAGGTAGCCTGGCTGTTGGTTTCTAATAACCGAGTTGCTGTATCTTCATGCATTGAAAAGTGTGTGCGTGTGTGTATTGATGTGTTGCCGAGTGGTTAGAATGTTTGCTCCCCGACGATGAAGCCCACGTCTGAATCTCACCACAGTTGATTTGTCAGGAAGTAAACCACCTGATGTTATCAGTCTGGAATGGGGACGATCCCCAGCATGCGACACCTTTGGAAAGTACCTGAAAACTATCCCATGAGTTGACCCAAACCTTTGTGATTGAAATTTGGGAGATGGAACCCTTGGTTGTCGATAGCTGTGTTAGCACAAAGTAACAAGTCGTTATGACCGAGGGTTTGAGTATGCTGGCCTTGTTCAGATTGTTGACCACACTAAACAACATGATCCCTTCCAGAAAGTAAGGTCTGCTCAGATTGAGAGAGCTGGCAATTACATCTGGCATGAAACAGACAGTTGCCTCTAAGTGTTGACTTTTATGTTCACTTTTATATTTATACACGCTCTATCTTCTGATATTGAGCACTTTATCCCATAAATATAGCACATCTTAAGACTATATAGGAAAATATCCATCTTCAAATTTCAGAGGGAAAGGAGGAGGGGGCCCCCACAGTGAAACTTTCAACAAGAGGGAAATAAATGACTTCAGTAAAAGGCCAGTGAGCTAAATGATAGAATCCTGCCAGGTTTTGAGAAATGAAGGAAAAGATTTCAGACAATTCTGTTAAAGACGAATGTATATAGATTTAATAAAAAAGAAGAAAAGTGACAGAAGAAGCCTCCACTTACCTGGTGCGGTTTCTGTCTTTCTTTTAGTTCCTTTTGAGATTTGACTGTCCGTTACTAAGTTGGCATAAAGAACAACCAGTTTGCCACCTTTGAACGATTTTCCATTCATCTGCTTCATTACTTCAGCACAGACATCAGCATCTTCAAATTTGACAAAGGCAAACCTATTAAGGAAAAAAAAGCAAGAAAATTATTATGGTCTGGATGGGATGCATTGGTTCAAAAGAGAGGAGGGTGTGCCAAGTGCACAAGATTTAGTAAATGTGGGTGGGCGTGTGTGAATTGGGGTGGTGGCCATTAAAATTCCATTTGCTTTATTTCCTTATTAACTGGTATCTGCCAATTTAGACGAAGTGGGCCCCCTTGCTGGATTAAGAAAATTCTAGCAGGACCATCAGTCATCTGGCAAATCCCTTATCCACTATTGTACTAATCTGAATGACACTAGGATTGGTCAGGAAGAAAAGGGGGTACATTGTGTGAAAATAATGGGGATGGAGGAGATGAGAAATGGTAAGAATTTCTCAAAGAAACAGGAAATTAAATGGCATAGCAGCAGTAAAAAAAAAAAAAAAAAAAAAAAAATTCAGAATAAAAATAAAACCAGGTGAAATACTAGTTGCAAATACTTGCCCTAGTGGCCTTTGCGTGTTCCGTTTGATTGGCATAACCAAAGAATCTGCTTTTGGGAACAACTGTCTTAGTTCAATTTCTGTTGTTGTGTATGGAAATCCAGTGATGTACAATTTCTTGGGATCCAACTCCTTGATGATTTTTGGTTCTTTTGGCCGGTGAAGACTCTTTTTGCCTGTATAGTCAACTGTCAGTGGTTTACCTTTCAATACTGTCTCACTCAGCGATTTAAAATTCTTTTCAGCAGCAGCCTCATTTTCAAATTCCAAAAATGCGTAACTGTAAAGAAATAAATAAGGCTTATAAAAATCACCTGTCACTTCAAAATCTGGTTTAGCATAACCGAGAGAAACAAATCAAATTACAGCAGTGTGCTGAAAGGTTGTTTTAACCTTCTGGAGATGATTTTGTTTGCAAAGCATATATGTTAATACTACCACTAAGTGACTCAGATGAATGAATAGCAGTGAGGTTGAATTTTGTAATTGTGTCGTCATATCCTGCTATGGCAACATAAAATGACCATGACTGAAATTGCATAGTGCAGTAGAAGAGCCTTGAAAAACAATGCAGTGAATAAAGCAGTTTGTTAAAGGTTAACATGTAAAATAAGTGTTGTCAGGAAAATAGGTTACTGTATAAATCAAATATGGCCTTTCAGATATATTTCTAAGAAAGGGAAAAAAAAAAAAAAAAAAAAAAAAAAAATCACATTTAGTTTTTTTTTTGTAAATTAAAATTGAACACCAACAGAATTTATTACTAGTTCACTAACTTGTTTTGCTGTAGTGTCGTCATATCCTGCTATGGCAACAGAAAATGACCAGGACTGAAGTAATACAGTAGAGGAGCCTTGAAAAAGAATGCAATGAACAATGCAGAGGGTTAAAGGTTAAACTTGAGATCAAAATGTTCAGGTTTTAATATTAAAGCAGAAGTCAGTATGTAATTACTTAGCTGTCTGGTACAAGGTCAGTGGTGTGAACAAGATGCAGAAGAGGTAGGAGTATCTTAGATATATGTTTATTTTCAATAAGCATATATCTAAGAACAGCAATTGAGGGCCATGTGTCAGGATGGTGTCTAGAAATATCAGAGGCATCACCCCCCCCCCATCAATCAGAACAAAAACAGGTCCTCCGCCAGCAAATGAGAAAAAGAAAAAGAAAAACAAACCATGCAGTTTTCTTGGGATCCCTCCGAATCCGTTTCCGAATGCGAACGCTCTGAATATCTTTTGACAATTTCATGAGAGTGTCTTCCTGGATTTCAATTGGTAAGTCCTTAAGAAATAAAGTTCGCTGATCCCTTTCATTGACTAACTCTAAATTAGAAAAGGAAAAAAAAAAAAAAAAAATTATTCTAACAAAAAAAAAAAAAGATTTTTTTTCATCAGACTATGCACATTCTTTAGCAATCTCATGGTTATATATTAAATTTTTATATTTACTTACTCATTTGCTCATCTTTGTCGAGTGGAGCAGTTGAAGCTTTTACAGCAGTTTGTTTATCCTTTTTAGGCAACTCTTTTGGGACGACTTTTTCTTTTTTAGTTGGAGACTTTTTGGTTTCCTTCTGACCTTTTTTAGAAGTGGGGGCTTCAGATGTGGCAGCTGGCGTTGCTTTGCCTTTCTTTGTAGCTGTAGAGAAGAAAAATACTCTATAAACCTTTCCTCTACATAAGAGAATTAAAAATTCATTTTCTAGCCAGTTTACCAAAACAAAATACCAAAAACGTTTTTTCAATATGGATCTATCTACAACAAATGTACAAAAGTAAATTCAAGATGGAACTCTTGCTTTCACAAGAAAATTAATAGAAAACTAAAAAGGAGTGTTAATCGCAATAGCAATGCCAGAAATTACACATTAAATAAATTCAACTTAAACTTGTCTCTATACATGTCATAAGTTGACTCACGACAATGTGACCACCCTCAGGATTTATAACTCTCAAACGGACATTTTAGGGATGTCCTTGTAGTCTTAAATCATTCATAAGATTTTCAAGTGACTTGCAAGTGATTCTGCATTGGGTAAAAGGATAGTCTTGATAGTAACCAAATTATCTAAATGTTTACTTTTAAGAAGCCAAATGAGTAATGGCTGAACTATATATTTTAATACAAACGCTACATGAAAAGTTTTGCTGGGTATCATACTGGTAGATGGGTAATTTCTGTGTCTACGTTTATGGCCTATCTTCAAAAAGCAGACATGGCTATATTCATCACAATATTTATGAGCTAATTTCAGGGCAGCTTATTGCTCTTGTTTTCTATTGCCATAGCAGGATATGAAAACAACTGAGATTCAAACACTATTGTTCAGGGATCAGAGTCACCTTCAGTGGCAAGATGTTTGGTACAGCAAATGAAGTCACATACAGCATGAAGGTTAATTTGACTGGGTTCGCGGTGGGGGCCTTCATGATGACAATAATAAAGGCCTCAAGAGATGATCCAGGCATGTGACACTATTTGGAAGAGCTGGAACACAACACAAATTGAGCAAAACTTGAGTGTGAAATTGGGTAGCCAGATCTGTTCAGAATCTGATGACTGAGCCATAATGAAGTCTTAAGTCACCGTGACCAAGGCTTTGTGTATATTGACATTGTTCAAACTGGTGATCATGCCATCTTGCCCAGAAACTGTAACAAAAGTCTGGTCGAGAACATTAGTGTTCCTTCAACATCTATAGAGCCAACTTGTGACCTTTAACAGGTGATTCTCAACAGGAGTCCATAGGCCCACAAATAGGCAAGAGAAATTTTTTAAATAAGACTAGTGTTGGTCCAAGGTGGGCTTTGCTAGACTTGTTCCTAAAACAAATGATTACATACATTTTGAAGTCAGGAACAGAAACTTACATAAAGTAGATATATGCCCTTAGTCTAAGATAATTTTCATCCCCCAATGTGTGAACACAAGCTCGTAGAAGGTCTAGTAAATGCCAGTCTACAAAAATTATTCCTCAAAGAAAAAAAAATTACCTTGTTCTTTGGCTGCTGGTGTCTTTTTGGCTGCCGTTTCTTTCTTATCAGATTTTTTTTCTTTTTCCTTAAGAGACTTGATCAGTTGTTTCAATTCTTCCTCATCTGAAAAACATAATTAGTAACATTAGTAGATTCCTCACATGGAAAGTCACTGACTTAACTGTCAATTGACATTTACATAATCTCAGCAAAATAGGTTTCTCAAGGCCTGCATTGTAGGGAATGATCAATCAATTCAACTTCTCTTTACAGGGTTCTAAGTCCCACCACCTCCCTACACACAAATAGGCTAAACTAGTCTCCCAGTTTCAGTTTAAATGAACACCCTTTCCTATATAAACAATGGATTGATATGAATTTATTTTCATGATCAGTCACAATGATGGGGGGGGGGCATGAGTCAAAAACAGCATTTAACCCTGGGTACACTAAAAATATTTTTTTAAAAAGACCAGGAGACGCAAAACACATGGCTTCCATGTCTAAGTAAAGCATCTGTCATTTGATATTTTAAACTAAATTCCTTATTTACAAGTATGAGTGAATAAAACTTTCCATTTCACCTTTCTCAATTAGTCATTATTGGCTTCACTTAACCTTTATCACTGTCGGTAATTATTTTCACTAAATGTTAGTCCTGCCAATGCAAGTTGAATTTCTTGGTTGTGTAGTCATATCCTTTTATGGCAACACTGAAAACAATCTTCACTGAAACTGCGATTTCAAATATATAGAACTAATAGCTATATTTTGAGGGAATTCCATATTCAATGAAAGGGGAAGTAATATTTATAAATGATGCAGAGTACTAAATGTTAAATAAAAAGTTTTTCAGCTTACAGATCACACTTTAGTGATGTGTCCTGGTAAGATCAGATTTAATAATTTGACTTACAGTATGTGTGGGTAGCGTAATGGATAAAGGTGCTGAATTGTTAATCAAAGATCAGAGTTGGGTTCGTCATTTGCACTTACAATATATACTCGGGTAATGTGCAATATTTATTTTACATACAGCTGTACTTTTAGACTACAGTAAATACATATATAGTTTGGTCAATGGCATAGCCAGGGCCAGCAGTACATAAACTAATTTTATATCTTGACTATGGATGCAACACTTAAAATTAGCTTCAAAAGTTGCATGATACGCAAGTATATACGGTACTCAAATACACTAGGGAAAGGTATGTATACACCTTCCCCCAGATATGGGTTAAATGGTAGGAATTGTCTAAATAATTATCTTCTAAAAATATTTTCTAGCTTTAAATAACTGGCAAAAATTTGATAAGCTATAAAATAAAAAAGTCAATTTATGGGCTATAGTAGAAAATAAATTAAGAGGAATCAAGTCAATAGACCATACCAAGTGACTCATCGTCGTCATCATCGTCCATTTCCTCATCATCATCATCGTCGTCGTCCTCATCCATTTCCTCATCATCATCCTCATCAGAATCAGACATGTCTTCTAATTTCTTCATTAGTTCACTATTGAATTCAATCTCTGAATCCTCATCATCATCATCTTCCTCCTCCTCCTCCTTCAAAAGGAAACAAAAACTAAAATAAGAAATGCATTCAAAGACCCCTTCCCCCCCAATCAAAAACTATTGGAATAACCCCCCTCCAAGCCCAGTGAGCATATGAGGAAGAAAAAAAAAAAATTGTTTTCTTCATTATTTCCCGTAAAAAATGAAAAATAAAGAAAACTCTTTACTCCTATGGAGTAAAGTTTTTTTTTGGAAGAGGGGGGGGGGTATAGTGAAACACACCTGTTCTATAGTTAATAGACTCTCCCATCTATAATAAGTAGGAGTAGTAAGAGTAACGAGTCAGCCACGGAGTTGGTCAGCCAGTCGATGTCGGACGACCGTTAGTTGAATACTAAAAGTATCAGCGACCACCACTAGATTTCTGTGTCATTACCTATTATATCAAGTTCCTAACGTTTTGTACGTCGAACCTATTTTTAGGACCAACATAGTACGAATACAAGCCTCCACTGTGAAACCACTCCACAACAACTAATGAGGAACTGAAGGCAAGGATTATGGCAGCCTTCACTAACTTAAACAAGGAGAGTGCCCAAAAGAATTACAGGAGATTCTGAAGCTGTCAAGGTTGAAACTAACAATTTTATTGAATAAAACTTTAGTATTTAAAGATTTTGTGTAATTTCGATAAATATATCTATTAAAATGAGGTCAGTTTTATTTTTGCAGAATTTAAACAATTTATCCATCATACAGTGTGCCTGTGTATGATTTGTGCTGTTTGTTATTTGTTTTTCTGAAGACATTCTGAGCCCTGTTAAACATTATTTGAACGCTGAATGTTAAATATCTCTGCCTGTTACTTTTTTTTTTAAAACTGAATCTAAAACTAGATTAACAAAAGAAAGACTAACATCAATAAGCTCACTTGGTTAACAATTGGCGTTCAATCACAGAAAGAATATTAGTTACATTTTTAAAATAAAACTATGCCTCTTAGCCAACAAATTCCTTTTATGTCGCAATAGTTATGGGTTGGTTTTAAACAATTTATAATTTTTTGTGCAGAAGTTCAGCTGCATCCATGGGATGCACAGATGGGAAGGCTACCGGATCTTAAGATTTTTATGCTTCAAGGATACAGGGTGCATACATGCACACTTCAAAGTTTGTTTTTTTTCTTAAATTTTTGTTCAGGCAAAATTTGAATTTAAACCCAAGAAAGAAAAGTCTGAAATATGAATATATCTTTTTCATTAACAAAAGTAATTAAAACCTGTAAAACAAAGTTCATGTCTGGACTGGTGTAAAAAAAAAAAAAAAAAAAAACAATACAAAACAAAGTAATGATTGAAACTTGTTACCTTCTTTGCTGGTGTTTTTTGTTTTTTCTTGGATTCAGATTTTGGGGTCTTTTTGTTACCAGGAGTGGCATTTCCTTTTTTATTGGGAGTCTAAAAGGAGAAAGAAAATCCCTTTAGCAAAACAAAAGAATACCAACAATCACAGCTATTTATTATTTTTAATATTATATACTAGAGGCAAATTAGTTTACTTTCAAAACCAAGAGCTGACCGGTCCCCTCGGTACATGTTCCGGGAAAGATGAGAGAAAAAAAACCTTATATCCTCACTCTCACGCCCTCTTAGATGTGACACATACCAATTCTACCTTTCCCATCAAGCTCTGATTTGAGAACAAGTCAGCCCCAACTAATTTTCTCTCTCATATCCACTTAATATACATTTGCCTTTTCAAATTACCATTTATGGTTATTGTAATTTCCCCCACTTTTATTTAAAAAGCCGACATTGCTAGTGACTCATTTGTTAATCAAAATGCTTATATAATACAGCTGCAACATTTATGACACAAAGCCCCCACCCCCCTCCAAAAGCCATAACTCATCAATACCAACCACACCTAGGTATTAATGGATCATAGAAACCAATATATCAAACATTTTTATAGTGAATTATTAATGAGTATTAAAAATTTATCGAGTCGAAAGTGCTTAAAAACAGCAAGGAAAAGTTTTGCTATGTACAATGCTTGCATAAAATGACAGTTTTGATCTTGTTTTGCATGGACAAAAAAAAGTTTTCAAACTTACACCTGCCTGAAGGCCATTCTGTTTCTTGTTAGACAAGACAGGTCGTGGTGTGTCCTTCAATGGGACAATCTTGGAGACTGGTGTTTTGGCAGGCTAAAATGAAAAAGAAAAAATAGTCTCAAGAGGAGTAAAGACTTTCAAAGAGGCATCCAGACAAGTGAGTGAGTGACAAAAACCAAAGAAAGCAAATAAATTAAAAAAAATAAACCTGAAATTGAAAAGGGAACAAGGGAATATTTAATCAAAGTAGCCATATATCTTCACATTATCTTTGTAACCCTTTGGTACAAGTTTCTAGAACAGAGTTTTCCAATTTTTTTTTTTTTTTTTTTTAAACTGTAACCCAAAGTAAGAACCACATTTTGCATTACAACCCATTATACAATATATATATACATACACATAATATATATATATATATATATATATATATATATATATATATATATATATAATAAAAAACCTTTCACAAGGTTCATTTATTTAGCATCAACAATTTATATGTATATTTCTTATGATCTTCATATTTGTATGAATATACCAACTGATGTTTCACATTTATATCTTGGTCAGCCTATGAAATTCCCAGCCAACTTTTGTATGAATGGGACACCAACAAAGATAGAAATTTTATGTATCTTAATTATTTCATGTTTAATAACCAATGATAGAGTGTGGAAATATTCAACGCATTTAGCCAAAAATGAATCAAATAGATTCATTAAAACTTTTGGGGACAAGTGACACCAAACCGGATGCTTAAGGTCAACTGTCACAGTTGAGATTGAGGTCAGTACTGGACTAGCTCCTTAAAGTAGTGCTGGGCTGTCACAAATATCATGATGTAGATATGGACAAAGTTGGCAGAACTAAGCCAAGAGATCTCACCTGTTGAATGGAGTAAAAAACCAAAAAGATTCCTGGTGGAGGAGGTCAAGTTGTACCCGAGACCCAAAAAAGATTGTCAATACCCTCTGAAAAAGGTCAACTTTCAGCAATTTTTATTGCTAATTTTGTAACAAACTTAACCAGGCTGTAGCTTGATATCTCCTAAATTTCCCACAAATTATTAATGCTGTTCTTAGAATATTCAGATTTTTTTTTTCTTTTAACAGACTTTTGACTGATGAAGCATCATAAAGCAATTATGGTTTATACAGATATTTACAGTCAACTTATTTTATATTATTACTTGTGACTTAGTTTAAAACTTGGTAATTCACTAAGTGAATTAATACTATATAGATAAAAGTACTCAATATTGGAGATTAAGCATACATAATATAAAAGCAGAGACTGAGGTCAACAGCTAGTCTCATGCAATGAAGATAAACTTGAAACACTGATGAGGATAAGACTTGATATCAAAGCGCTAATTACAATCTGACAACCATGAATATTTTTAAAAAAGAATTCAGAATTGTTTTTTTCTACGAGTAATAACTTAAGTTTGTGGCCTTTCTTCATGCTAGGCTCCCCCCCCAGCATCAAAGTGGAGGCATCTAATTACTATCAGTTGTCACTATACAAAGTATTTTATTGGGAATAGAGAAATTCTTGCAAAGAATAACATGTGCCAACTTTAGAACTAACATGCTGTGGATTAAATAATTTCGATGACACAAACCAGTCTAAAATTCTACTTACTTCATTTTTCTTAGCCGATTTTGGAGTTTTCACCATACTGTCCTGAAAAGAAAAGAAAATTGTTACAATCTTTAAAAAAAGAAAAAGGCAAGACTTAAAAAATTAAAGGGAAACAACTTCAGTCAACGTTGAAAATCATTTCTCGCGTTTATTCTCTAAGCCAAACATTTCAGGCAAGGATTCAATTTAAGCTAAGCAAGTTTCTAGACCTGTTCTGCTTTCAGTCCCTTTTTTATTTCCATTTCTCAATAATTAGAGAAACACATTTGAAGTGAGGGTTCGATTTACAACCGATACAGCAAATGAACTAAAACTAATAAAAAGCAGTAAATATAATACACAGGTTGCCCGAAAGTCTTGTCATCACACATTTCAAATGGCTGACACGAGCTCATACAGTTTGGAAAAGAGGGTTAGGATGACAACTGAAATATCTGGATAAACTGGACCCTGACTGGTGTCTATCTTTATGCAAATGTAATTTTATTCGATAACCTTAGGTTGAGAGTTTGTTAATTCCACACGCTAAAAAAATAAGTGGAGAAGATGCAACACTTTCGTTTACGCAAAGCAAGGAGCTCATCAACCCCACTATAAAAAATAGGCTTGTATCTCCTCAGGCAAATCAGAGCTCACAAATAAATTCACAAGCACAAAAAAAAAAAAAAAAAAATATGAACATAATCAGACTTAAGAGCAAGGGAACTGCAGACACGTCGCTATTGGTTAAAAAAAATGGATCGAATAGAGTTCATTTAAAATTTAAATTTGATAATACCCTGACTTGATCGGGGGAAGGGGTGACTGGGTTGTGACTCCTGGAAATATCCCCGCCTCCAATATGCATTACTATCCCATCTAGTAACTTTATTATATATATATATATATATATATATATATATATATATATATATATATACACAAAAAATCTAAGGGAGATCATTTAGTGGAAATTATTCCCAATGTTAAAAAGCGACGATGAGAAATGTGCAAAATACAAAATGGTGACGGCGACTCCACGTGGTAAAAAAGTAACCAAAAGAATTATAAGTAATCATAGCATATTGTTTGGTAGGGATTTGATTTAATCACTAATAATATATGGGTAATTTGCAGTGTGATCTCCGCACTCAGTTTTTAATAAAAATTCCCGAATAGTTACACAAAAATATAAAAAACACATGGGGGGGGGGTGCGAAACCGTTCCGCCTTTTTAAGACTCGTATATAAATCGATACAGAATTATATTTTATTTCTGTTACTTCACATGATCAAATTAGTAGATTTTTTTTTTTAGCTTAGGACAGGCATGAAGCACCCAGTGCGGGTTGAACTTACACATCATTAGTTGAGAGTAACTTGCTAAAGAAAAAAAAGAAAAAAGTTTAAGGTTGAGGAAGCCACACCACGTGGTTTGAAGCCCGGCGTTATAATAATTAAACTGAAAAGAAAGGGTTTTCCTTTTAATTTCAGACTAAAGAAAATTGATTAAAAAAAAAAAAAAAAAAAAAAAAAAAGAAAGAAAGGCCAGCATGATTTACTTACTAAAATCGAATATAAATATTTTCGTTAAAAAAAAAAAAAAAATTTAACCAAAGTGAAAAGAAATTTAAACCGATTTTTCAAAATGATCAGATTGCCACGTGGTTCACTCAAATTCATTACGTCTGTGTTTCACGAAAAATTTTAATTTTATTTAATAAAAAAAAAGAGTCTTCTAATGAAAAATGATAAGCAACAAGTTACAAGGGTAAGTAAGTTTTAAACTGTAATTTTCTAATTTCATCAAAATGATAAAAAATGTATCTTTCTCTGTCGGCATTAGGGGTATTAATCTAGAAAGGAGTTGCAGTATTTCCAGATTTACCGCTCCACATAAAATCTTAAAACTGAAAGATTTAATAGTCAATCATTTAATTTATCAATCATTTTTTTTAATGTCTAGCTAGAGCAGTTCTAGAGAAACAAAAGTGGAGAATAACAGTCGTCTAGTAACACCGAAGATGACCCACTTTAGTTTCCGACCTAATTAAGATTTTTCAACATCGCATTGGAAACATTCTCTAACATTTAAAGTGGATAAAAAAGAAAAAAAAAAGAGTACTTCATAGAGAAGAGAGGCCGGCTTTCCCTAGAAAGACGGGACGGGGGGTTCTCTCGTCAACTGATCAGCACCCCACGACATTGCAAAATAATATATTGAAGTAATAATGGATTTTTTTTTTTTGGACGGGTGGACATAATAGTATGAAGGATAAGATCAGCGAGTATTGCTAGAGAATAACAACGTCAATATGCCTTCATCGAGATAAACGTGCGGTATTGCTGGGGTGGGGTGGTGGTAATTCTGGAAGAATGCCTTGACCTCCTCCAGGTCATCAAGCTACAGTAGCTTTGATGAAAATTGAAAAGCAATCCAATGTAACATTAAAATACTTTTAATAATTGCTTAATGAGTTGGAAGACTAGGATGCTAATTTCTGCAAAATACAAGGAGCTCTGCTACCAATACATTTTTCTTTAAAAATTTCCTACAAAAATAAAATTGATATCCGGCATTTTTCCGATTTAGGGTAAAGTCGTCGCGTTTAAAGACAAATATACTTGAAGGATTTTTTAAGAACAGAGTATTACTATTACATTTTAAATTTAAAGCAAACATTGTTTCGATAATGATTACAAAAAAAAATGGGGGGAAAACAGCCCCTCTCCATTTTTTAAAGGAAACCTTCACAAAAATGATATTAAAATTTACTGCAATTAAAAATTGGAAAAATTACAGATTATGACCCAGAAAGCAATTAAGAGCAACATCATTTCTGGTGTAAATGAGTCTGAATAGCCCAAAAACCGTGTTAAAAGTTTATGAAAATTTACCGTTTAGGAGATATCGACAATCTTTGAGTTTTATTTGTGTCTCGGGCTACGGCCCGGCCATTACTGGCCTTCATTACTGCGCGAAATAAAGATAACAGCCCAGTGCTCAATTTAAATATAAAAAATATTCCTGGTGTAAAAAAAAAAAAATCTGCGAAATTCTACCGCAATTTTAGTTAGGTTCCGGGTAAAAATGACTCCGCGAAAGTTTAGCCATTAATTAAAAAAAAAAAAAAAAAAAAAAAGAATCCGAGCACTTCCACAAATTCCTGACTGAGGTGGCCAAATTGTACCTAGAACCCAAATAAGATTCTCAAATACACCCCCACCCAAGAAGGGCCTCAAACTTAAGTTTTAAAGTCAAAATGTTTATTACTAAAGAAGGAAAGACCAAATGTCGGCCGGGCTGTATAGAGACAAAAAAAATCCAACTAAAATTATCGATCTCTCCTAATCGGTAGGTTTCCGCAAATTTTTTAATACTGTTTTTGAAATCGTTAGGATTTTTTTAAAATTTGTTTCTGGGCCTTAATCTGCAATTTTACACAAAATTGTTTAAGTTTAATTACTGAACAATAAATCAGCAAACAACCAACGTGAGCGATTTTTTTTTTTTTATCGCCCACCAGTATTTTTGTAAAGTTTCTATTTATGAGAAATAAAAACAAAATGTTTTATTAAAATATACAAGTAAAGTAATACATAAAAATAATTTAAATAAGATGTAATAAAAGAAATGAGAAGATGTATTAAGAACAAATTTTATGTTGATAAGGAACACGTGCTTCCTTCAGAAAAGAAAGATTACAAAAAAATGGGGGGGTGAAGGATTTAAAATCGATTTATATTTTTAAGACTATATTTACTGAGGAAGAATTTTAAGGCAATGAAGCATAAATATTAATTTGAAAAAATAATTTAAAAAGCTACAGAAGCGAATATCCATTTATTTTAAATGCGCACATTACAAAAAAATCTCAAACGATAACTACCATTGAATCATGAGTATAAATAATTCAATAAAAAGAAATCAAATAATTTTAAATTAATTTTAAGAAGAAATCCAATTAATTTAAAGTTTTTGGGTTTTTTTTTTTAAATCAATATGCATTTAAAAATAAATCAAGTATGGTGGCTTCATGGAAAAACTCATGTACGGCTTTAAAATCGAAGACGGAGCAAATGTTTTAAAATAGAGAAAAATAAACTAACAAGAAACAAATAATGGTTAGAGTATTAAAAGAAAAGTACGTGAAAATACCTTAGATTTCTTGCTCTTAACAGAATCCATGATGGAGAAGTGAACACTCAGGGGACGAGTAGTGACTGAAAAGACGTCACACGTGCAAAGTGCCTTTTGAACAAAATGGCCGAGGCCTAGTCAAGCTGGCAAGGGGCTGAAGATTCAACCAATCATTGCTTGATACGTCATCAAAGATGTTGGGAACCGAGAGTTATTCCCCTTGCTGTCTCGATTTGGCCCGGGAGGTGGGGGCACTGCATATATTTATATTTCAGTTATATATTAACAAGCTTATCGCGCTAGATCAATTATGACTGAGTAGTGTCCATCGGGTGCTCCACATTTTCGACCTTGTACCACATCTATGCTACGCTTAGAAAATCAATTTGGTGGTATGTTTGGGTCAGTGATTGCGACTAGCTAAGTTTAAGTATAATACCGAGTAATTCCATAGAGTTATTAACTAACATGTTTTAAATTTTAAATAAATGTTTTTAATTTTAAAATTAAAAACGAATTAATAAAATTTTTATTGATTCATTTTCTATGGCTTATCAATTCTATGCAGGTTATTTAAAGCTAGAAAATATTTTCAGATTATAAGATTTTTTTTTTTTTGAGATAATTGTTTAATGTTTAGTGATACAAGTTTTACTAATTAATTAATCCATAGTTGGAAGGGGAAGAGGTAGGTTCATGACTTTCCCAGTAGTATTTGCCCATAAGTGAATATAACAAACTCCACAGGAATTGGAACTCGGCTCTCCAATTCTGAGCCATTATCCATTATAGTACCCACACATCCAAGCTTACAGCACCTAATATTCCCAAGCAGTCACCCATCCAATTACTGACGATGCTCAACATTGCTTAACTTCGGTGATCATACAGAAACCAATGGGTTCTATAGCCTTGGATGGCAACTAGTCTAGGAGAACAACAACTCTGAATTCAAAATCTGCAGAAGGTTGTTTGGGGACTTTGTGGCACGTAGTGCACCAGGTCTCTGTATTTGGCCCTTCAAAAAGTGTGGATGGTTCTGCACAAAACCTTCACCACTATAATCAAATCTCATGTACTGTTGTGTCGGGCTGTCGGTTTCCTGGGAACTGATCTGCTTGACTCTCATATGTCGAATTCAGCGGGAGAGTCGAGAGTATATCTATCTATCTATCTATCTATCTATCTATCTATCTATCTATATATATATATATATATATATATATATATATATATATATCAACCCTCTCAAGGCTGATTTTCCTTTTCCTAGACCAGTTGTCACCCAAGGTTATAGAATCCAATCTGTCTTGCTATTTACTTATAGCTGGGGAGAGAAGAGAAGTATTCATACCTTTCAAGGGGTACATAAGTGAATGTAATGAATTTGACTGGAATTCAAACTCAGCTCTCCGATTCCTCAAACCAAGCTGCAACCCATCACTCTGTCCTGTCTCCAATACATATATATATATATATATATATATATATATATATATATATTTGTGAGATGAGGTATTATGTACACTATTTACATTATTTGGACTATTGTCCTCATCTTATTTAAATTTGAGGTTTCTCCTATGTATTCTTTGTGGTAATTATTACAGGTGATATATCTCTACATACAAGCCTGTTTTGCTGCATCACAGCTCATCAGTGTGGCTAGATATCCAATTGCTTCAAGCAATAGAGTTTCATAAGTTTCTACTTAGAGTTGTTGCTATATTACATTGTTATTACTGTGGTAATAAAATAAGTAGATCCCATCTCCCCTCTCATTTGTAACCATCCATCACAATAAAATAAACGTTTTTCTCTGCTAAATATCAATGAGTCAAATAGTTTCATAACTTTCTACTTAGAGTTGTTGCTATATTACAATTATTTGTTTATGCTTTTATCATTTTTGCTATTAAGTATTCCACATCGGGAAAATCTGCCAAGAAAGGTGAACTGTAAGAAGCTGGATACAAATTTACTATGGACGATCTAGTGATTAAAGCACTTTCTATACATTTTTGCTTGAGTAAATTGCTTTCTCATTTAATTAAAGTAGCATTTTTTTTAAATCAAAAATATGGTCAAACTCATTACATTAAGACAATAATGCATTAAGTGATCTGTTTTGTAGAAGATCCCTTTTATGTTCATATAAACTTTTATTTAAATTTGTCAAAGTTTCTCCTATATATTCTTTGTGACAATCATTACAGGTGATAGTAATTTCCTTCTTAAAGTTCTAGCTTATTACTGTTTTGTTCTCCCACACACATACATCTATATATTTATATGGATAAGGACAAAAGGAAATCTTAGTGTGCATGTTTCATCCTCTGAGGGACTTTATTTTTTAATCTGACATTTTTTTATTATTGTGGTAATAAAATAAGTACATCCCATCTACCCACTTGCTTGTAACCATCCATCTCAATAAAATAAAAGATCTGCCATGAAAGGGGAAATGTAAGAACCTGGAATTAAATTTACTGTAGATGATCTAGCAATTAAAGCACTTTCTATATATTTTTATGTATTTTATTTTAATAAATTGCTTTCTCTTTTGATTAAAGTAGCAGTTTTTAAATCAAAATTATGGTCAAACTCATTGCAGTGAGCATCAAATGTACTGTGTGGGTCATCGTAAACATCATTTTTGTCCAATGAAGTCCTATTTGTCCACATGAAAAATTTTTACCACTTTCTCATTGATTTTTCCTAATACACACACACACACACACACACACACACACACACATATATATATATATATATATATATATATATATATATATATAAAATTTTATATATATATATATATATAAATTTTAATTTAATTAGAAAATAGACAACCTTAAGGGTCCATTGGTTATATTTTATTTCCCCAGTTTTTTTCCTGGTTCCTCAGATCATATTTCCAAGCATAAAAAATGGTTTTAAATTTACATATTATTTTTATACACTTTTGAGGGGTAGTTTTAAGTTGATATAAGGTGATAGAGAGAGGGGAAGGAGGAGGATGACAGATGTGTCAAAATTAGAGATGGAAGGGAGAGATAGGAATAATTTTAAATCTATTTTTTAAGATACTTAAGCGTAAGGGAAGGGGGGGTAAGGACCAGCCATTGACCTATTTAATAAGTCATCTCACAGGAAACTAGACAAAGAGAAAAAAAGAGAAGAAAAGATATAAGAAAGCAAATGTGGAAGCAGGGGTGGGAGGAAAAAAGTGGGGAAAGAAGAAAAGGAAGAATAAATTAACATATATAGGCATTTTTGAAGTTAATTTCAAAAAACATAGACTGATATATTTTGCAGTTAATGTTTGACATCAATTTAAAAATTATCAATAAAATAAAATAGGAAAAAAATATTATAATGTGAATATAAGATAAACAATTTTAATGTGAATATAAGATGAATAAAAAATATTAATATTATTAATAACAACTAAGGAGTAAAGAAATTAATAATTGAAAACTAAAATTTCAAATTTTAAATCTTAAATTCATAATTTAAAAACACTGGGCAGGACATCTTAAGAAAATAGAAAATATTTTTATCACTTTTGTTATTAGGTATGTTACATTGTGATAATAAAAGATCTGTCACATGGCACAGTGGATAAAGGCGTTAGTTAGATCCAGTGACAGGTCCCAAAGTTCAATACCTGGTTAAGGCAGTGGAGAACTTGGAGAGGGGAATTAACAGGAGATAACTGACATCCTGTTTACAGTGGAACACACTTATTCTATAGTTAATAGACTCTCCTACCTATAATAAGTAGGGGTAGTAAGAGTAACAAGTGAGTTGGTCAGTCGGTCAGTGAGTCAGACATTCAGTGAGTCGATGTCGGACTACAGTTAGTTGAATACTAAAGTATCAGTGACCACAACTAGATTACTCTGCGTTATACCTATTATATCAAGTTCCTAACGTTTTGTACGTTGAACATATTTTAGGATCGACTTAGTACAAATACAAGCCTCCACAGTGAAATCACTCCACAACACATCCATTAAATATGTCATATGGAACTAGAACTCTTTACCTCAGTGAGCGAGATAAAGGGTTCTGTTTGACATTCCAACTACCTGACGAAAGCCAGAGTGTACAATGGCCGAAACGTAATAAATATGTCAACAAAGAGGAGGTCAATAGTCCAAATAATGTAAATAAAAGGATCTATTATCAAAAATTTGTTCTGAATTTCTTGTGAATTGTCTTCTTTGGTGTTCCTAACAAACTTTGCCATTGACGGTAGAAACTTTTTCAACGCATTTAGCTGCAAGTTTTGGGATAAAATTTGCAGGTCTGCTACCAGGCTGAAGTGAAGTAGAACGTCACTTTCATGACCTTCCAAAAGCCTTTTGTGTGTGACATATGTAAAAAGAAACTTTTTCTAATTGATCCGAGTGCTCCAAATACAACTGGAATTATTGATATCCTCATGTGTCACATTTTTGAGATCCTTGTATTTTGATAGGTTATTGAAGATCTTCAAAGATACATTACAATCTGCAGGGACTGCCATGTCAATAAGAAAGCACATTCTGTTTTTGTGGTCTTTAATCACAATGTCTAGAAAATTAGCTTTGATTGTTCTCTCCGTGTGTATTGTAAAGTCCCTTAAAACTGTTACAAGTCCTAAGTCTGTAGCCAGGTCCAGATGCTGTTCAGACCAATTTCTTGTAGTTTCCTTCCAATAAAAGTTTCATATTTTCCAGTGCCCATTTTATCTATCATGCTGAGTTTTATATTTAGTGTGTGCCTGATACAAGATGGTCAATTCTTTCTGGATATTAATCACAGAATCTGCACTTAGCGTTAATACAGTTTTTCAGTATGTGTACTTGGTAATTTCTAGTTAGCAAACATTGTTCCTGTACAGCAAGAATAAAAGCTTCAGTTTCAGCTTTTAACTCTGCTCTACTTAACCCCTAATGAGTATGAGGATTGCCTACATCTATTTGTTTGGTACAGGTAGAGTATTGACCCTGAAGTCACTTATCTTACCATCATTTCTACATTTGGTACATTGCATTTGTTTTTGCTTTCTTTGCCACTGCAGTTGGTGTATTATGGTTTATTTGCAATTCTTCACCCACTTGAAATTCCCTGTTGAATTTGTTCTTTCTTTATTTCTGAATAAATTATTTCTTTCATGTTCTTTGACGAATTTCATCATAAAGTCTTCTGTAGTTTCCAGGTATCTTTGAAGACCAATTGTAAGTCAGTTCTAGTTGAACTAATCCTTTGCCACCTTTGGTTCTGGGCACATACAGATGATCAACATCAGCCTTGAGATGATGCATGCTGTTGCAAATGAGAAGCTTTCTCATTTTGACATCCATTCACTTAATGTCAGCTATGGTCCAATTAAGGATGTTGAAACTGCATGAATTCCTGTTGAAACAGGAGTCACAATGGAGTAATGGATATCAGATTGGATTGAGGAATTGGAGAGCCGAGTTCAAATTCCATTCAAACTCAGTGCATTCACTTATGTGCTAATACCCTTGGGAAAGGTATGAATCCTTTTCTTCACCCCCACCCCAGCTATGGGTAAATAGCAGGACAGACTGGGTTCTATAGCCTTGGATGGCAACTGGTCTACTGCAGAAAGGAAGGACAACCTACTGTGGGAAAAATCTGCCTCATCAGTCATGTATCGAAAGATACATGATCACCTAAGTGTGTACTGCGCATAGCACATAACTGACTGAAACTGTGTTGCACCACAGGGACAACCAATTTATAGCTGATATTCTGATTTGTAGATTCAAATTGGTATTTAACACCAGACACACACCTGTTATATTCTTTTCTTACTTTCTCCTTCATGCTGTATTCCATCTTATTTACTGACTCCTCGGTATTTATAGATTTCTTCTTGTTCCAATTC